TGCCGCAGACGGAAATGTTCGTACTATTGAACGGAAATCACTGAGGAATACGTCGCCTTTAAGACCTAGGCTTGACAATACGAATAATACAGATTTTCAAAAAAATAGATTTTTCATATGTTTTACTATTGATGAGCACAAACTGGCAAATACTTTTTGGTAGTGAGTGTAGTTCACCTTTCTTGGATCTTAAGAAACTAGCGACTTGTTCTGAACCCCAATCTTTAAAGTTTGTAGAAGTGTTTGTAGAGATATCTTCTCCTTTGCTTGCCTGCTGAATTTCAATAGGTTCACAAATGACAAGTGTCTAAATGTAATATTCAAACTTAATAAACACTTGCTGTACAAACATCTTCTTTTTTCCACCCAAAAACATCATTTAGTTCACCCAAAATGTCGCCCAAATATATCAGTTCTGTTATATGAGATGCAGGTAAACTAGAATTCATACAAACGAGGGAGGAAAATACAATATAAGCACGAGGCTCATGTTGAAGAAGATCTTGAAAAGATGGTTTGTCCAATGCAATCCATGTATGAATGTCATTGGCATGAATGCGATCCATTGCATTTACTGTCTGCATATGCCAGATTTCCATAAGCCAGTATAGTTCGCTCATTCGAAAGTCTTCTACACCTTCCAAGTCATCATCATGAGATATTAGTTCCTTCATCTCTGCAGAGGCTTTGATAGTACACAGTTGCCAGCTTAGATCCTTTACTGCTTGTTCATAGTCTTCTTTTGTCATGCATCTCGTAGGTGCAATAACGAAATGTAATCCTGTTTGAATGCCTTCTGGAAACCGGAGTTTCATTTTATGAGTGTAAAATAAAGCCAATCCTTCTGAAAGGAATGTTTCTTCAGGAAGAAAGTAGCAGGGTGCTTCCATCATATTGAGTCTTTCATTGGGGATGTTGTGAGGTGTCTCCAAAGGTACAAAACAGGAAATGCCTTTTGCATTTTTATCATTGACTCTATAGTATTTAATATACCTATTATCTAAGTTGTCAAGCTTATAGTCTCCTCTATGAAGTTCCTGAAGCATAGCATCGGGACGGTGAGTTAGCCAAGGAGCTTGCGTAAAACTCGTTCCGCTTACTAGCTCTTCCATTGCAGTATTTAGAGCATAAACAAGTACTATTTAATGGTGTTCTTAATCACGAGTGTAAATATAACGAAAAAACTTTATCTTACCTTTTATTGGTTAAGGTGTGATCTACGTCGGAATTTGGAGCATCATTAATAGTATGGGCATGTGAATGGTCAGACTTTCTTGATTAGACAGATTTGCGAATGCTTATGCCCTTTTAGTATAATAATGTGCAGATGTATTATTGCTGTGCATGGATCAATTGTAATACTAATTATTTAGGCCGGAAAACACCTAAGACCAGGTAGATAAGATACGTTATGTAATGCAAAGATGAATAAACAAGCCGAAGATCGTAGATCTTCGTTTGCCAAATCCCACTATTCCAACTTTGATCAATATATATATATGAGAATAAGATTTGACTATTGCAATTATAGATTCCATGCTATCTTGTGAACTAAATTCAGCCAATCCCAATCTGTATCGATAGGAAACTGATGAACAAGTTCAAGCGATTGCTTGCGAACTGTTTTCTATTGGACAGATAGGAAAATGAGTATATAAACAAACAAGTCACGTAATTGCTTCAGTATCGAGATAAATTATTATCGTCGGTAGTCAAAAATATTCAACACAAATTTCAGGGGTTCACAATAGCGTAAAGAGCCAATGGTGTCTTTCTGGGCCATGATTCGTTCTATTTCTGTTGATAGGGTCTCTAACTCGGTTGTTAATGCGGTCTTGTCAACAATAATCAGCTTCGGCCTACAATACGTCTGTCACCTAAGATTCTTATAGCAAGAGTTTATTAATAAACCAAGTTTGTTTGTTTTTCACTAGCCAATTACCACAACTTTAGGTCTTGCTATCGTTCGTGATGCCTTGTATATCGAATAATCTATTATCGAAATTCTACAATAAATTGTCGTTGCACTACTGGTTACGCGTCTATCAATTAATTTAATAACGTTTCATTAAGAATTAATATAATAAATCATGACAGATGACGGTTCAGTGGAATTTAGAGATTTAACTGTCGCATATTAAGAATACTAATATAATGCTTTTTAGGCAAAAAGGCAAATCGGGTATCACGAAGACTGCTTGCTCAATTGCCTAAAATGAGTACATATCGGCCTATAGACCGCGAACCGTCCCGTGGTCACTTTCTACGGGCAACTCTGCATACTGAACAATACTAAAATATGGTACGTATCTCAACCATACGTCTTATTACATGGTTTCACTTACAATCGTATAAAATGTAAGCGGTCACTAACAACGGATAATAATGCTAATTCGAGACGCATAGCTGATAATATAAAGCACTTGTTGTTAATACTGATCCGTTAGTCGAAACTTTGACCTACGTTTTGTCTGAACCAATATAATAATTCTTGACAAGCGCTATCGCGGTGAATGGTTTTCAATACATATTAATATTGGCATATATAATCATTCAAAGATATCCTCTAAGGCTGTTAGCCATAGTTAATTTTATAAATAAGTTAATTGG